CTACCACGATGGTATTGATTGGGTGTCGTGTGAGTGCAGGAAGAATCATGGTCAGTTAGTTGAGGTTGCACACACACACACACACACACAGGTTTGTAATTATATCTTTAATTGTGGGGACTCTCCATTCATTTTTATTGGGAAAACTCTAATCTCAGCATGATGACCTTAACCCCTACCCAGCTCTAACCTTAACCATAAGTAACCAAACAAAATACGAGACTTTTGCCATTATTTGTTTTTTGATTGCCTTCATAGATCTTTGTGGTGATCTGAAAATTGTCCTCACAACGTCAAAATAATAGGTTTTTAATACACCGTGGGGAACATTTGGTCCCCACAATGTAATATAAACATAATCCACACACACACACACAGACATGCTCAGGCAGCCTAGCCCAGCATCCCTGGCTGTATCACACACACACACACGTAAACAGACCATTTCATCATATGGTGCTTCTCAGAGAAGCTCCTTCATGAGGATGAGGAGGGCTAATAGCTGGAAGAGGGAGGTTTTGCAGGTGTGCCGGGGTGGAGGGGGCCGTCCCACCCGGACATCTCGAGGGTCCAGGCCAAGGGCTGGGGGCTGACACTTTGGGGCAGGGATGCTGTCTGACTGGGAGCCATGACAGATCAGCATCTGTCCTACAGGAGTCACATCCCCCCCCAGCCCTCCCAGTCTGATTGAGAATGAAATACGATGGGGCTGCAGCTGGAGGGGGGGGGGGGCACAGAGCCTCATAATTACATCTCCTTTTTATGGCTGCCACTAATGGCCGTCAGGGAGGTGGAAACAATAATAAATGAATAGAACGTGAACTCCACTCCATAGAAATGTGACGCCTTCGTCTGGGGGGGCACTGGGCTGTTTGGCTCAGGACCGGGTCCAGCTGAGCGGACCCCCCCCCCGGCCCCAGGGACATCTTTAAGCTCATGCTTCGGTTCCAGAGGTTGTTGGGTTTGGGGGGGAGGGGGTTCGTTTTTCGACATTCCCATTACTGCTGAGGAAGGGGGAGCCGATGCGCAACCATGACAACGGCACAGAATCAGGGAGGGGGGTGCTGGCATGATTAGTGGGGGACGGGAGACGGGAAGAGGAGTTCCACTTGACGGCATGGCCTGGGACTGATCTGTTTGGAGATAAAGGTGACAGTTTGAGATTTATCAAGCGAGCAGGAGAGATTGCCGGGAAGCCCCTCCCCCCCCCATCTCGCCCCCCCAGCTGCTTGATGCAAAATGAATGACTTTTCTGCAGGACAGGCTGGGAGTGCGCCCTCACTGAGGAGACAGTGTGGCCCTGATTGTGTCTGGGTTTCCGTTTACCCCTCCTGGTTTGTACACCCGTCAAGACTTGGCGCCTCACATCTTCATCCCGCACCTCCTTCTACACCTGCAGCCAAGGAGCTTCTGGGCTGGGGGGCAGGGTGTCAGGGGGGAAGGGAGCCACTGGGGCATTTGCATAACAGACAGGGAAATTAGCATGGCTGTGGTGCAAGCAAATTTAATGGGGGTGTGGGGGGGGGGCTGCAGAGTCAAGCAGGGAGGTCAAGTAAGGGGATGCAGACCAAAATGAGGCAGGGAGTTGTTTGAGCTTGAAGGAAAATGAGCGGAAAAAAGCGAAACATGACAGGGCAGCACAACGAATGTGAAAAGACGTTAACCGATGTCTGCTTCCTGTGTCTGTCGTGGCGATTAAGCCGATTAAAGCTGTAGCGGTGACCAGTAGCTAGTACCCATTGCTAAGGGGCTTGTTTTGGTAACCGGGGTGTTAATTACATTACCAATAGCTACACTATGAGAGGTGCGCTGGACTTTATTAGCATAAATAGAAGCAGATAGACTGATTACAGTTGAGGACTGTCCAGAGACCATGCCGGGGTTCTCATCTGGCCAGAAACCGTGCTGGGGTTCTCATCTGGCCCAAGACCGTGCTGGGGTTCTCGTCCGGCCAGAGACCGTGCTGGGGTTCTCGTCCGGCCCGGGGTTCTCGTCCGGCCAGAGACCGTGCTGGGGTTCTCGTCCGGCCAGAGACCGTGCTGGGTTTGTCGTCTGGCCAGAGACCGTGCTGGGGTTCTCGTCTGGCCTGAGACTGTGTTGGGGTTCTCATCCGGCCAGAGACTATGTTGGGGTTCTCGTCCGGCCAGAGACCGTGCTGGGTTTGTCGTCTGGCCAGAGACTGTGCTGGGGTTGTCGTCTGGCCAGAGACTGTGCTGGGGTTGTCGTCTGGCCCCGAGACTCTGCTGGGGTACTCGTCCGGCCAGAGACCGTGCTGAGGTTCTCATCTGGACAGAGACTGTGCTGGGGTTCTCGCCTGGCCCGAGACTGTACTGGTCCACCCCTTGGTCATCTTTTGTTCCTTTCAAGAAAGAAAGAGCCTCCACAGAGGGACTTATGCCCCCCCCCCCCCCCCCCCCCCCCCCCCCCCCCCCGTCAGCTACCCCGTTAGGCCGGAGTGCTCCTGTCAGTGGTACAGACACCCCCGGCTCCCCTGCGAGCTGGATACCACGTCATGCCAGCTGAAAGTGGACAGGAGCTGCAGGTTGGAAATGAAGATGTAAATATTGATATTTCATTAGGGGGGAAATCAGTCGCTTGGGTAGAACTTAAGTGCCCCCCCTCCCATGCCTTGGCCTGAGCACTGGCTGACCTGGGCGGCCAGGAAGTCACTTCATTACTCGATTAAATTGACTGGAAAAAGGCAGGGAAGGACATAAGATCCCATTTGAGGCGATAATTTAGGCTCCTAGAGAAGAGGTGGGGGAGCCATGCCAGGACCCGCAACAAATTGCGTCTGTGGTCTCGATGCACGGAGCTTTTATTGTCAAACGTAATTGTAGGCTGTTTTCATTTAATGCAAGAGCAGTACTAAGGAGTGGCTGGTGTTTGGGGCGTGGCTCTGCGCCACCTGCTTGCCGTGGATGGACCCGGTTTTTATAGGCTGTACCACAGTGAGGAGGTTGTCCCGCATCCAGACCATGTGACCACCCTGCTGAGCGCTGCATGCCCACACGGTTGGGCTCCCCTGCGCTCCCAGCACCTCCCAATAAACTCTGCCATTTCTGGGTGTTTTTAGCCCAAATATGAAAAGATTACATAACTATACTTTTTATGCTTAAAATGTTTTTTTACATGTTTACTTCCAAATTAGGGCTTAAATTAGCTGAAGTTGTTATAATTCATTTTAAATTCAGGATACTGGTTTTTTTTTTATGAACGGGCATTGACATGGAAATTGGAGGGTTACAGAAGTCAGGTCAGGGTGCATGTCACAGACGTCTCTGTCCATCCAGTCAGGGACCCACTCCTATGAGGTCAGGGTGGCCCGGCGTGTCACAGACATTTCAGTCTGTCCGGACAGGGCCTCGCTCCTGTGAGGTCGGGAAGGCCCGGTGTGTGTCAGATATTTCAGTCTGTCTGGTCAACGTCCCGCTCCTGTGAGGTTGGGGTGGCCCGACGTGTCACAGATGTCCCGGCCCGTCCAGTCAACGTCCTGCTCCTGTGAGGTTGGGAAGGCCCGGCGTGTCAGAAACGTTTTGGTCTTTCCAGTCAGGCCCCCGCTTCTGTGAGGTCGGGGTCGCCCGGCATGTCACAGACGTCTTGGTCCGTCCGGTCCGGGTCCCACTATTGTGAGGTCGGGATGGCCCAGCGTGTCACAGATGTCTTGGTCCTTCCGGTCAAGGCCCCAGTCCTGTGAGGTCAGGGTGGCCCAGCACGTCACAGACATCTTGGTCCTTCCGGTCAGGGCCCCGCTCCTGTGAGGTCAGGGTGGCCTGGTGTGTCACAGACTTCCCAGCCCGTCCGGTCAGAGACCCCCATTCTTGTGACTATCGATTTCCCTTCACATCCTGAGGGCTGATTACAATCTGTTAATTAATGTCCCCCCAGCACTTTTTCATCCAGCTGTGCTCACCAGCCTGATAAGAGAAATTGGACACTTTTCTAACCCCCCCCCCTTCCTCTTTTTAGCCCCCCCACCCCCACCCTGTCCCCAGGGTATTCGGGAGCACTCCAAAGAGTTAAGGGCCCTGTAGATAAACATCACCCACCAACTCTCCGGCAATGAGATAATATGAATTTAAAAAAAGGGTGGGGGGGGATGTGGTCCCTAGCCTGGTCAATACAATAAGCAGGCTTCTTTTAATTATATGGGAGCTGATAGCATTGCGACAGTGAACTTGTAAAAGCAATAATTTCAATCAGCAGGCGCTGTGAGGGCAACTAATATGCTGGCAAAAAAAGTTGAAACTGCTGGCGAACTGGCTTCACTCATTGGGGGGGGGGGGGGGGGGGTGAATCGAGGGACAGGGGCTTTTAAGAGTTTATTGACGGCTCTACAAGGGGGAGGGAAATGGCATAAGATGGCTATCGGTTCTTCCTCTCCGCAGATTTCCTTTGTCTTCCTCTTTTCCTTTGTCTTCCTCCACACCCCGTCCGTCGCCTGACCTTAACTGGGCGTCTTGGGCAGGTCCCGACCCACCCTGGCGTTCGATGGCGGTAGCGGCATGATCCACGCCGGACAGCCTCTCGCGCGTTTAGCAGCTGTGCTTCGTCAGCACTGTTTGTCAGTATCCGCCACCGCTGGGGATTAGGGTGCAGTTGACCCCTCTCCCAGCAGGGGGGGCCCTAGCTGTCATCCCCACTTACCCCCCTACCAGCCTCAAACAAGCACAGATGCTTACACACACACACACACACACACACACCACCTTCCTGAGGAAGGCACAGTCTGAGTGATTACCTCAGAGGTGTTAAGGCTTCAGAATGAACTCCGCTGTTAACAGATCCCTACAAGTGTTCACCTACATAGACTTGCGCACAGAAAAGACTTCATGCAGATCCGGATATGTCCTAGCCAAGCTATGTAACATTTAATTTCTGTGTTCTGCTATAATCTGTTTGTCTGTGTGTTTATATGCACAACAGCCCCTACAAAACAAAGGTGTTAAGGAAGATCTGTACAAGATTTGACAATACCCGCCCTCCCTGACCCCACACAGGCTTCTCCAACCTGTCGCTGGCAGACCAAATGAGCCTACTGCAGAGCGCATGGATGGAGATCCTCATCCTGAGCATCGTGTTCCGCTCGCTGCCCTACGAGGACGAGCTGGTCTACGCAGAGGACTACGTGATGGACGAGGAGCATTCGCGGCTCACTGGCCTGCTGGACCTCTACGTCTCCATCCTGCAGCTGGTGCGCAGGTACAAGAAGCTCAAGGTGGAGAAGGAGGAGTTCGTCACTCTGAAGGCCATCGCCCTCGCCAACTCGGGTAAGGGCTCCTCACCTACCTGCCGCTTTTTTATTAAAGGGACGTAACACGTGAGAAAACTCACAGTTTAAAAAAATCCTAATTAAAGCCAAAGGTTGTGGCTGGTTTATAACAAACATAACAAGTAAATACTTTAAAACTTTATCTGAACCTGAAATTTTATCATCTAGCTATAACAACTTATTATTTGTTGTGTGTATGTCCAAATTACCCAAAAATTTACCCAAAAATTATGTTTCAGAAACTATTTTTTGCTGACTCATTTCTTTTTACTACAAAAGTGCTGTCCTTTTTGCACTTTGGTGTAAGTACAAATGCAGTTTAATACAGTTTGATGTAAAGGCAAAATTACATGACACCTGCAATCTGAATCCAGTGTGCGAATTCATTAAAACGAATCTTGCGGTAATTTCACTTGTTAAGCTCGCACAAAGCTATCAGAAAGGCATCGTCTCGATAAGCGTAAAGGTAACTTTCTAATGGGAAGTTATGAGAGCGTGAGAGGACAATATGTAAGCACTGTGACATGTCTTAATTGATTCTGAAACGAGCGAAGCCCAACTATATTTTCCTGGTATTTATTATCAAGTTGTTTAATAGTTTCGTCAGCTGTTAAATTGCTCGTTTTGTTCAGTATGCGTCTCCATGCTTTGTTGAACAAACTAATAAGGAAGAGTCTTCGTTTGGGATACTGATGGCAGAGGGGGGGATGGGGGGGGGTCCCCATTTTAACGCATTATTTACATTCATGTCACTGCTTGTTGCATCGTCATCCGATGGAAGCTTTTGCCGACACGGCGTCCGGAACACAGGTCATGTGATGGGGCAGGAAAGAAACAGATAGACGAAGGAATTAGCAGAACAACGTGCTAGAAACGCACAGAGTCGGATCACCTGCGGGTCAATAAACGCGACGTAAACAGGAGGGCCGGACAAAAGGCGGGGGAGGGGGGCGGTTTAATTGAACGCCGGCCATGTCGTGGTATCCCTGTGCCCCCCCCCC